ACAACGACCCCCGTCCTGTCTCCCTCCCCTGGGCGTCCTCTTCCCCATCCCCCATCCCAGCCGACCCCCACTCAACTAGACTTCAGAGCTGGGTGCGCTTTTCCCTCTCTTTCTCTGTGTCTCTTCATCTCTTCACTTTCGACGTTTCAGTTTAACGTCGTTGAGTCAGGGTTTTCGCCTTTTTTGTGTTGTGATGTGCAGGTGTGAAGCGCGGTTACTGTGCCGCAGCGGTCGCGTCATATCCCCCTCCCCCCTCCTATGCTCGCCTCTGCAACTCTTTATCCTCTCAACGGCCCCTTGTTCTCTCGAGCTTCAAAGAGAAGAGTGAGATATCCTTTGTTTCCTTCTAGTTTAGCCCTCGTTTAGCTTCCGGTTGTGTCCTCTGCGTCCGGGAGTAATATTTCTTTGACGGGTCATGTAATTCGAATTTTGCGCATTCAGAGTTGCTGGTCGTCACCTATTTTCCATGAACTTTTTTGAAATCATCTTAGCTGTAGCAGAGGCCAGACTTTTAGGAGGATTCTGCAAATATTCCCATTTTAGGAAGATCTTATGTCCAGGTGCTACGCTTACACTGTAGGTAAAGAATTAAGGTAGAAACTGGGCTCATTCTCCCCGTGGATTTCGGCGCGGTTATATCCGATTAGTAAGGGGAAACCAGCCCTGTTGTGACGGGAGATCTATGCCAAGTCGGTCACTGCACCTGGAACGCCATGCGATTTGAAAGAGCGAGAGGGCGAGGATTCAGAGCAACTTGCCACTGTCACATGCAAGTCTTTTCAATCACAGCCACCCTTACAGATGTGGTCGTTGTCGTGTTCGATGAAAAAAGTGCTGATTACCCCAACGGGTCTTCCATGATCGCCATTACATTCACACGCCTTTTAGTATGTTGTATTATTTTAGGTAAAAAAGGTTTATGTAGGTCCCTGGGTTTGAAAGGCAGGGCTAGGCCTGGTTTGTTTTATTGGTAACAATAATGTTGGTCTATCATCTTAGATGCCTCTAGTCTTGTGGTTGCTTTTAGTTTTATTGGTTTTGCTTTAGTTTTAGTTAAGTTTTTAATTTTTAATTTAGTTTACTTTAGTCTTTAGTTCAGTTAGATACCGCTTAAGTTAGAAAAATATACTTAAATAACTTAAATAACTTAAATAACTACTGTAAATTAAACTGAACTGAATAAACTAAACTTAGAGAAATTACCTAAACTAAAATCTTACCTGCACTAAAACAAAATTTAAACTCAATACCAAATTATAAACCACCGGTCCCTTAAGGGCGACTTCTGGGGCTAGTGGTGTCGAAGGTGGTAGACAAACGTTATTGTTACCGTTTTATTAGTAAATAGCAGTGGGCAGTAACCCTCTGTGTGTTAACTACTATATTTACATAACAGCATGCATAACGTTGCTTTGTTGCGTTTTTTTTCCTTCAAATCCCTTTTGGTAAGCGAGAGGTACTTTTTGTCTCCTTTTGTATCACCACTCTCAATTTTGTTGCTATGTATAGGCCTAGAAGAATAAATATGACGGTCTTATTTCACATATTTCGCTGGTTGTCTGCGGTGAGGCTGCCCCCACCCCTCCTATTTTACACGATCCTGGGCTTATTTGTGGCTAAGGGGGTTTATATAAGCTACCATTGCATTTTTTTACTTTCAAAGCACTCCATCTACTGCGAAAATGCATACACATGCTGCAACTTAAAATTTGCTGAAAATGTCTGCACAGAGTGGCATAGAAAGCGATTGGAGAGAAAGCTCTGAACTGGCTAAAGTCTGCATTTCTCCCGCCTTTAGTAGCCCCAGTGTTCTAGCCGCGAAGTGACTGCAGCAACTGCCCAGAATTTAACACAGTTCTGAACTCACTGCATGACCTGG